AATTCTTCATTGGGATGGTTGTGTGTAAACAAAAGTCTGTTCCCTTCGTTCTTGTTTCACTGCCCAAGGTTGGAGGAATTACGTTGTTCTTCCACAATAGCACTGTGATGACAAACTGACACTGCAAAATAAATGTAGCAGGAGAATTAGGCTGGGTTGTGAACAGGTGAATTTTTCTTACCTAGCTCATGTGCACCTGATTATTTTTCCGAGGTTTAAGTAATATGAATTAGTAGAGATGTGTATCTCTGAAAACAGATTTAGTTGAAGAAAATACATACAGCATTATGCATTTATAGCTTCTGTTTAATATTTGAATTAGCTCTATGGCTACCCATCTGCAGACATTTTGCTTGTCTTCACTCGTTTGCAAGTGTTGAGCTTCTTAAAGGTATTTGTAAGTCATGACAGAAAAAAGTAAATGTGACCAATGTATAGTAAGTGACCTCAGGAGGTTCACAAAGCATGTGCAAGGAGTCTTTAGCTATCTTCATGCAGTAGGTGGGTTAGTATGGCTTCCAACAGGGTAGCTGAAGAGCCATGTAAAAGCTGCAATTGGACTACCTAAATCTAAAGAAGGGAGGTGGAGGAACATAATGTAAAAGAAGTCTTCCTATAGATGAAGTTGAATCAACATGTTGTAAAAACTGCTTTTATAGCCATGCTAAGTTCATGTTCCCTTTTTAACATTAGGCAAAATTACTGTTTGGAATAATTCCCAGATCTGAAAAATCTAGTGCACAACTGCAAGGGTGAAATGAGCCTACCAAATCAAGATCTGTGGGCTGTGACATGCGTTGGGAAGCCAATTTTGCACGTCTTCCCTGTCCCAGTGGCTTTTGGATCACTCAAACTTGGTTCAACATACAGGCATTTTATTCAGATAAATAATCTAAGTTGGGTGTCATGGAATTTTGCTCAAGCAGCATCTCTCCAACAGCTGTGTCTTGTCTTCCCTGGTGCAGATGCCAGCCAGTGTTTGCAGACTCGTTTGATGGCTATGTTTTAGTGTTTGCAGTTATATCTATAAAATATAAAACAATTCCAGTGAACAATACTTGGTTCCTTTTAACAGCTGAGTTTGTTGATAGACTTGTTAGACTTAATGTGCAAACTTTCCTTCCAGCTGAGAAGAAGGTACAATGTCTATAACAATGCCATTATCAGATCCATTATCAGCTTTCCTTTTCTTCCCCCAGGTACTTCAATACCAGTGACAATAATCTACAGTACTGGGGCCTTGATTATCCACCTCTTACTGCTTATCACAGTCTCTTGTGTGCTTACGTGTAAGTTAATTTTTCTAAAAATAATTCTAAAACAAAATAATAAAACAAATATTTTATTTAAACATTGAAATATTTGCTATTGTACAAGAAACCAAATCGATTCTTTTCTCCCAAGAGGAAGGGAACAAACGGTAGAGACATAATTGTTTGGGATATATCACAGATTGTAAAACAATAAAACCATTATAATTTCATCTTCCTCACTCCAAGCCTGATTCTGCTTTGTTTTCTGCTTTGACATTATTGGGAAGTTTTCTTTCTAAGGGATACTTCCATATTCTAGTCCTTCAGTTTTAGCTTAAGCTGTGGATCATAGTTATTGATTCTTAATTAAGTCATATTGGATCAGTGATATTTAGAAAAAAGTATGCCAGGCATGTTTATAACAAATGGAAAATTAATCTTATACTGGGAGTCCAAGGGGGATTCTAGCAGACTCCCTGTATATGTATAATGTGGAATGTTTTTTCTGGTTGGGCCTTAACCAGTATTGAAACAATTTTCATAAACATGAAGACAGACTTCTAGAATAAGAAGGGTGCAAGCTAAGGTACATTGGCACAGCCTTGCAGGGAAACTTGTCTGCACAGTGCCCAACTTCTGTTTGACTCATAGAAATGAAAACTACCTTGTGATTATTTTCATTTCTTTTTTTTTTTATAGTGCCACTGGTACTAGTTTGAAGCAACAGTGTAAGAACAGAATCAATTTTTATCAGTATTTTTTATCAGTCTACGAGAATTATTTTCAATTTTTGTTATTTCTGACTAGCAGCTAAATTCTGTAGAATAAGTCAGTCTACTGGCAAGGAGAATCTTTCACTGGTCACTATTGCTTCTTGAAAAATTTTGCCTCATTCATCTTAATTCTTTGAATTATACCTCTGTGCATGTCTATTGCTGAACAGAATGAAAAGGGAAACTGGAACTGTCTACATTTTGATGTGTCTATGCTTTGTTTTGCAGTGCAAATTTAATAAATCCTGATTGGATTGCTCTCCACACATCCCGTGGGTATGAGAGTCAGCCGCATAAGTTATTTATGCGTGCAACAGGTATAAGATCATTTTAAGAAATACGTTTTTTCTAAATTTGTCTGGCTTACTAATTTAATGCATTTAATTTAATATAGCTTCTCTTTTTTTTTTTTTTTT